AAGATTTACCAGTGAAAGGAAAAGAAAGCTAGCATGAAAGGAGAAAAGTATGATTTATTTTTAGCTACTATTATTGCTGAGTTTTTCTACCTTAAGAAATGGAAGACTGACTTTCTATATATGCCCAAAGGAGTCTGTAGAAAGGGAAAGATCAAAGGAGAGACACAGGAGTAAAGTTCAGGAGTAACAAGATCACCTTTCAGTTCTTCCTGTAAAACAGGAACAAAAATAAATTTTAACGTGGTGAGAAAGGTGTGGGTGAACAGGGAAAAACTACAAAAACCCAAAGAGGTTTCTTTCTTACACTCTAAAACAATGATGATAATGATGCTTTAGAATTTTGCTCCTTTAAAATAACACCAACTACTATGAAAATGTTAATAGTAAAAAAGTGTATAAAGTAATAGGAAAGAACACACTGCATTGTATAGTAGTAAATTAAAAACATGACTCCAGAGTCAAAAAGCATGAGTTTAAATCACTGTTTAGTCACATGCTATAGTTAACTGTGTTAACTCTGGGCAAGTATCTTAACTTTGTGCCTTAGTGCCTCAGTGTCATCACTTGCAAAATAGAGGTAACAGTGCTTACCTCATAGAATTTGGAAGTAATCCAAAGCTTTTAAGAATGCATACAAATGTTAGGTGATAGTGGCAGCAGCAACTGTAGTGATAATATGAACAGCAGCAGTAGTAGTAACGTAACCTATCTGTGTTTAATCAGCCAGTTATTTAAGGAAGGAGGGAAGGGCTAGGCTCTAAAAAATATGCCTCATTCAATCCTTTCAACTACAGAAGGAAACAATCAACTACAGAAGGAAGCAAGTATAATGCTCCCTATTATACCAATAAGGAAAGGAGAGGTTCATCAGCCTAGATTATTCAGTTAATGGCAGAACTAAGATTTGAACACTGGTCTATGTGGACACAAGACTCAATTTCCTTTCATTATACAACACTACCTTCAGAGCACTACACAGCACACACAATTAGACATTCTTCACTGCTGAAATCATAAAATCTGGGCACATGATTAAGTCTATCTGCCTTTCAATTTTGTATTCTGAAAAATTAAGGGGTTTCATTAGATCTTGAGGTTTTCCTTCAGCTAAAACAGTTCATGATTTTATTAAATTACCACCTTGACTGGCGTGTAAACTCATAAAGTTTTAAAATATAATAGAAAACCTTTTCTGTTTAAAAAACAAAAACAGAATAATTGAACATCAAAAAAAAAAAGCTTAAATTTTTGTCGAGGACTTCACATCAAAAAACCTGAATGTTACAGGAAAGACCGATATCGAATTTTATTATTAGCAAGTATGACTAAGCAAATATTTGAAAGAACAAAACATCAATCTTAAGTATTTCAAGATGACAATTTTAACACCGACATTTTCAATAATTTACGAAAAACCACACACACAAAAACCATGATATACCTACAGACCTTATAATCAAATAAAAGACAGATCTATCAGCTTTTATTTCATGCTGAAACTGCAATCATGTTTTGTTTTGTTTTTTTCCCATGTCAACCTGAAAACTCTCCTGCCCTAAAACCCTTCACTGGCTTCCTACTACCCTTCACTGACATTCAAAATCCTTAACATGACTCAACACAGTTACATGATCTGGCTCCTCTCTTTGCAGCTATCCAATGCTATTCTTCCCCTTGCTTTTTTTCAGTTTCCTTCAGTTTCTCCAAGATGCCTTTCTTCTTTCATTTTTAGGACTTTCATCCAATCTGTTCTTCAGAACCTACAGCTCTCCATTCCCATCCTTTTGTCGCAGCAAAAGGCTGAGATCAAATGTAATCATGACGGGACAGCCTTTCCTGACCTCCCAGACATATATTTTGATAACATTCTCGACTTCATTACACTCACTAGTCTTGTAATTATTTGTTCAACATCTGTATTCCCTGCTAAATGGTAAACAATATGAAGATGGTCATTTCATATCGGTTTCTACTATTTTCCCAATAGCTAACACATTGCTTAGCAGAGTACATTAAGTGCTCAATAAATGTTTGCTGAATTAATACATTCAAAATGTGGGGCAAGTCCAAAACCACTTTTTAGGTAAGTCCTATACAAGTATGTGTTACATCCCACCCTTGGTGTTTCAAATGTTCCTCCCTCCAATAGGTGCTATTTGGCAATTATAAAGTTTTCAAGCAAGCAAGCAAATAAATAAATAAATAAATAAATAAATAGATAAATAGATCCCTTTAGATAACCAACACATCTTAGTTTCACAAAACCAAGGTTAGAAACCACAGGTCATAAGTAATTGGAATCAGCTTTAAAAGTCATTATCTAAAAGAATTCACCTGAAATGCAATTAGAGGACAGGAACTTGGATATAAGGGCTCAATTTTACCACAACAATGTATGTTGTAAAAGGACCAATCCCAATTTCTACCACTGTCAGGCTCTACTAGTAGTGTCTTATTTATTCCAACAGTAATGACTGCAGTGCTACAGTCATCTGAATAGGCTACAAAACCTGGAATATACTTTATTAAAACTAAAGAAAAATAAGCATACACACTAAGTAGCTATAATCTTTTAAGTTAGTGGAAAAAAAGGAAATGGTAGTAAAGCTGATAAGTAATTTAAAAACTGAAGGCTCAAAAAAGAAATGCTGTTTTGACTCGTAATATTTTTAAGTTTTCTGTTCACCTAATACTTATTGAATGCTAATTACAAAGCAGACAGTGTTCAACGATTTTAATACATATTCATTACTTTCCCCATTTTAGAGATAAGGAAACAGAGGCACTAAATTAAGTAACTTACCCAATATTACACAGCTGGTAAGTGGCACCGGAAGAATTTAAAGCCAGCCATTCTGGCTGCAGAGTTCTCGCCCTCAATCACTATACAGTGCTGTCCACTCTCTTTCCAAACTACTGAAATAGGGCTTCTATCTACACCACCCCACTCCAGTGAAACTATTTTGCCAAGGCCACCAATGATTTCTACTTTGCCAGATCCAAGGGCCACTTCTCTGCCTCCATCTTTTGCATCCATTCTGCAGCATCCCATCAAGTTGACAACTTGTCTCTTTTGTCATACATTTCTTTAGTGACATATGTCCCAATTTTCTTCCTATCTCAGACCAGGGCTCTCTTCTCTTCCCTATCTACACATTCTTCCTAGTAAAGCTCCCATAATCCCATGAATTTAAACACTATCTGCATGGTTCCAAATTTCTCTAGTCCTGGCCTGAGTTCCAAACTCATATACCCAAATACCTACTTGACATCTCACTTTGATGTAGAACACCTTATACTTAATGATCAAAACCAACATCCCACCCTCCTTCCCTCAACCTGTTCTCTCCCAGCCTTCTTTACCATCATCCACCCAGTTGCTTAGGCTAACTTCTGTTGTCATCCTTGAGTTCCCTTTCCCTCATCTCCCACATGCAATCCATCAGGAAGTTCTATCAGATCTACTTATAAAATATATTTAGTTCTGTCTCCACTATCACTTTAATGCAAACGACCTACATCTCTGCCTACAATACCCTTCAGAATGGTCTCCTTGCTTCCATTCTTGCCCCCTTAATCTCCATGAAGCAGGCAGAGTAAAAACAAAATCAAATCAGTCCTTGCCTGCTTTAAATCATCTAATGTCTTCTGATTGTAATTTAAACAAAATCCTAGCTGTAGACCATGGCCTAGAAGCTCTTACATGATTTGGCCCCTGCCTACTTCTCCAACTTCATGTCTTTCCATTTTCTCCCTTACCACAAGTTTCCTTGTAGCCATAACTGCCTTTTTTTGCCTTGGAACACACCGATTATTTCTGCTACAGGGCCTTTGCACTTTCTGTTCCTTCTGCAAAGAACATTCTTTTTGCAGACTTGCACGCAGATGGTTCCTTCTTCCCCTAAGGTGTTGCTCAAATGTCACCTCCTCTGAGGCCTTCTAATCACTCTTTTACACAATCCTGTATTATTACAACTGTCACTGCTAATTACCTGAAGTTATATTATTTGCATGTTTATTATGTCTTGTCCACTTTGGAATTTGAAAGCTCTTATCCCCAAAGCCTCCCACAATACCTAGCGGGTGCTTAATAAATGTATTAAATGAGTGGATTTTCCCCACTGCATTTTAAGTTGCTTATTGCAAATCAACCAATTCTGATAAAGCACTTTGCGCATGATATATTTTTATGATGTAGTCCCAGATAAATCCTTAAAACACTCCTTATTTTACCAGTCTAAACCACCTCAGAACTCTGAACACCACCCCCTCCCCCAACACAGGCACACGCACGCGCGCGCGCGCGCGCACACACACACACACACACACACACACACACACACACAGTCCATCTATAGCATCCCACTTAAAACTGCTAAATATTCCATATGGATAGACCACATTTTCTTCCTCCTATCCAGGCGAACGAACGTGTAGGTGGGAAAAGGGAATTTTACTGAGCACCTCAGCACCTGTTACATCTTTAATCAGTTAAGAGCGGTGCCGATATGCCAGATAGCACATGGGAGACGTGGCCTTTCTTTCAGGCATAGTATTTAGGTAAAACGTTAAGTGGCTTAGGCTAGAACCCTCCAAATCCCTAATAAGGGCCATTCACTTTGTCTAAATAAACAAAGTAAAACCGTCTGTGGGCGGGAGACTATGCTCGGATTCACTAAAAGAAACCGATATGGGGACCCTCAGCAAACATACCGGTAAGTGTGTAAGTGTGTGTGTGTACGTGGGGTCGGTGTACATATAACGGGAAAACAAGACAGCACACAGTAGGTTCAATGACCAACTCAGCGATAAAAGTCAGCTCAGGGTCTCAGGAGTATCCAGACCTGGGAGCGAGGGTGGAAGAGGAGGAAACACAGAGCCCTGGGACCTCCGTTTACCGCTTCGGCCTCCACCGCAGACACCTGGGAAAACTGCACAGATCGGCGTGTCCGCCTGTTCCCCACTTCCATCCCTGCAAGGAGATAGCCCCGGATACTCACATGGGCTCGAGAGTCTTGCTGAGCCAGGACTTCAGTGCCTCGAAGTTTTCAATGATCATTTTAGAAACCATCCACAGCGGCCCCGAGGCCCGTCAGACGCCTCAGCCAGCCCAGGTCGCGGCCGCTACAGCCGCCGCTGCCCCCGCCCCCTCCTCCGCGCACCGTCCGCGTGGGCCGCGGTGGGAGGCGCCGGTGGTAGGCTCCCGCGAGCCCCAGTAGGTGAACACCTCCACGGAGACCGCCGCAGGCTGCAAGTCCCAGGGGTACCAGGGGCTCCTCTCCCCGGACCCCGGCCCGGTATGAGGCAGCAACGGTTTGCCCGGGCCCTCCCCCTTCCCTCCACCCCGCCGAATCTTTCTGGACTGGGAGCGCGGCGCGAGCCTAGACCCGGACTTTCTGTCAGCCTCGGGACCAGGTGCTTGTTGGCAACGCAGAAGAGGCAAAAGTGGAGAAAGCCAAGACGAAGGGCAGCTCAATGGGAATGATTCCGGGGGTCTTCCCGGCTCCCAGCACCCCCGAGAAGATGGCTGCCGATAAATCTCGCGAGAATTGATGAAGTCTCGCGATGACTCCTGGAGCCTGCTGGGAAGAGACGTAAGATCGGCGGAGAGCGCGCTAGAACAGTGCGGTCGTTCGGTTTTTGCGTGACTTGCGGCTTTTTGCGCCTTTTTTACGCTTTAATCCTCTTAAGGAATGAAGATTTTATTTGTTTTACAAGGAGGGAAAGACGACTGGTTTCAGAAACAGCGGGAGCCTCAGCGCATCCTCTGTAACAGTTGGCCGTGGCGCGTCAGCTGGAACGAACCTGCGGGCCGGGGCGCTCCTTGAGAGCATCCACACTGCTGGGTGCGGGGACGCAGGGCCTCCGGTTGGTTGCAGGTGTGCTGCGCTGTGCTGCTCCCCGTTTACCTGTATCCTGCAGTACTACGTTCTGTGTGTGCTGTGATGTGGACAGCTTCGGGAAGCACAAGCGGGTCTTACCAATGAGACCTCCAGAGGATTCGTGTTTTGTCCAGAATTACTTGGCTTGTTGGCAGAGTGCTAATGCCCCAAGTGAAAGATGAGATAACCTTGACAGTTCTCAGATAGTTTCCAACCATCTAAAACTCTGACTTTTCCCTCCCCGCTAAGATAAGAAAGTGTGTTTTTAATTATCTTCATTTAGAGGTGATCCTGCGCCAGGTCGGGAAACCACATACAATGAAAAGAGAGACCCTTCATATCAGCAGCCCAAATGAATGAACTTCCCTTCTCCTGTATGGTCAACTGAGTTTGCTTCCTGCCCGAGTTGTTCTATTTGCTATTGTTGACTACCATTAAGGTGCTAGGTGGAATTTTTGATAGGTCTGGTGCCCGTAAACTATAATCAAATGAAAACAATTCACAATATAAAGACACTCAGAATAAGTAGACCAATAAAAATTTCTTTATGGCAGACACTAAATTGTCGTTAAGAGCTCTGAGTTTATAATTTGCTGGAGTGAAGTGTCCTTAAGCAATAAGTGGAAAAAATTATCAAGTAAGAAAAGCTAAACATTTGTTTTAAAATATAGCTTATAGGATAGGATGCAAATTAGAATCTAGCTATTGAATAACCAGGATGTTGATTAAAGCAATTTAAGTGAAATAAGCCAAACACAAAAGAACAAATATTATATGATTACACTTATGTGAGGTACCTAGAGTAGCCAAACTCCTAGAGACAAAAGGTAGGATAGAAGTTGCCAGGAGTGGAAGGGGTAGGGAAGAATGGGGAGTTATTTTTTAATGAAGAAAGAGTTTCAGCTGCTCTAATAAAACTATCCTCTGCTACAAACTTAAAAAAAAAAAAAGTTTCAGTGTGGGATGATGAAAAGGTTTTGGAGATGGGCCGTGTTGATATTTTACAACAATGTGAATGTACTTAATGCCATTGAACTATACACTTGAGAATGGTTTAAATGGTAAATTTTATGTTATGTATATTTTACTGCAATAAAAGATGTTTTATAAATTTAATATTGCTAGTGGAAATGTAATATTCTAATTATTTAGCCTGGTTGTTTAATAGCCTTGCCACTGGCTGACTCCACCAATGTTTTCAACCTCATCACCAACTGTTCCATAACTCTGGCCTCCCACAGAGGAAACACTTCAGCAATTGCTAAAGGTGTAAACTGGAATCAGAGGACATACTATCATTTTCCTCTTAATAAGATCAAAATATTTCTGGTAAAAGAAAACATTTTGAGGAACCATCACTAACTCTTTATTAGGCACTCCATTTATACTGATAATTGACTGTATGACTCCATGTAGCAGTACTTCCATAGAAGGGGTCCAAAACAGTACAGAGTAAGACTAAGGAGTTGTGCTATTAATACACTGAATTCTTTATTTTGTTCCACATGAGAGAAAAAGTCCTTACATTTTTAGAAAAGCACTGTCCAATAAAACTATGTTCGCCCCATATATAATTTAAAATTTTCTAGTGGCCACATTTTTAAAAAGTAAACAAATAATATTTTATTTAGCTAAATTTATCCAAAATAGCATCATTTCACTATGCAATTAATATAAAAATTATTGAGATATTTGACTTTTTTTGTTGTTGTTACTAAGACTTTAAAATCCACTGTGTATTTTACACTTATAGCACATCTCAGTTCAAACAAGCCACATTACAAGGGCTCAAATACCCATGCTTTGCTAGTGGCTATTGTATTGGACAGTGTAACTAAAACTTTATAGAGAGTGTCTCATGTGGGCGTTTAACTGTGCCTGATGTCTGTTGTTTCAGTGTTGTCATTTTCCTCTGTACAAGTTCTGGCCCTCAGTAAGAATGGGCTTGACTTGCAAAAGCTCTCATTAAGGTTCTACATCATTACTTTTGTAATAGACAATTTTTCATAAGGCTACTAAGGAAATAGGAACAAAATGTAGAGGTGAACCTTCTGCAAAAGATTTATTCCTCCTCTCACTTCTATTAGCCAGAGAATAAAAGAGTGAAGAGGAGGACAAGGTATATACAGTTTTCTTCAGATTCTTGGCTTGAAGGACAGCAACATCTCCATAACAAATATTTGTTGAAAAAAAAAAAAGCCGTGAAATGAAATGACATGGCAGAGTCTTATATGACATCACAGAAGCTCTAAAGGGATCATATGCATGTAAGCATGTAAATACCTACTTCTCATGGAATTCCAAAATGGAGTTTGTGAATCTGCTTTGCTATCTCTTGGGGTGGTTTTCTTGAGGTATTTATCCTTACAATAGTTAGTGGGATGTCAGAGGTAGCATCACAAATGAAAGGAACCTCAGGAGTCTTGACTCAGTACGAGCTGTCAGACTCTCACCAGGTTATGGATTTTATTCTTCAGTGTTCATTCATTCAACAAATATATACTGAGAGCCTACTGTGTGCTATGAACTTCTCTAGGCCCTGGAGATACATATGTAAACAAGACCGGCAAGAACTTTACTCTCCTGGAATTTCTATGCTAGCTAGTCGGTAAGGCTTTCCCAGGGATCTTTTTGGTTTTTTGGGTTTCCCTGCCTTCACAGATTTTTTTTAAATGTTTTATTTATTTATTTTTTTAATTGGGGAGTTGGGGGGATGGGAAGAGTGCTGGGGAATTGGGGGAAGGGGAACAGACAAGTTGCTGTCGTTTTGTTTTTCAGTCTAGTTGTGGAGGACGTTGCTTCACTGGCCCAAGTTGGCACCATCATTGCGCTCTTCCCGGGCGAGGCAGATCAGTCGCCGGCTTCTGGACGGCTGCTCACTGCAGCTGCTGGCCGCTCACGCTGGCTGCTGGCTACACACGGTAGCCCATGGCAACCCACTGCCACAGGGGCTGCAGCCTACGCCGACGCCGGCGACTCATGGCAGCCCAGCTCCAGGTTGAGCTGTTGTTCAGCATCTGAGCTGTGGAGGGCAGTGTCACTGGCCCTCATATGTGGGATCCGAACCGGGGTGTTTTATTTTTATATTATGGAAAATTTTAAACATATACAAAAGCAGAAAGAAGTATACTCTTTCCCATCATTCAGTTTCTACAATAATCGACTCCTGGTCAATCTTACTTCAGTGATACTCCATCCTCTCCCCTTACTCCATTTCAAATTATTTTGCATCATTTCACTAACAGATGGTTTTTAATAATATAACATATTTTTGTTCTTCTGGATACTGAGATTTACATCTATCTGTCATCATCTGTGGCAGTTTGTGCAGGAGACTTTGGAAATGTGTGAATGTGTGTGTGTATCAATATGTAATACATGTATATATGCATATATATCTTCAACCTCCATCCAATCAACCATTAATATCTATTGAGTCTTCTTCCTAAACACACCTAAAGTGTATTCATTATCATCCAACCCAGACTATAGACTGCAGCCAAAGTAATCCATAAAAGCCCATTCTAATCATGGCACCATTTAAAACCCTTTATTGACTCCCCTCTTCCCAGGCTAAAGTATAAATTTATTACTAATAATATTTAACTGAAATTGTGTTTTATGGTATTAATCACTGTGCTCAGTGCTTTACATTCATTGTGTTAATCCTCACGATTTAGCATTCCCATTCTACAGCTGAGGAAATTAAGGCTTTGAGTTGCCCAATCATGGCAGAGATTGAACTCAGGTTGGTAAACAACAAAGACCACAGCTCTACCAGATTTCTCATCAATTGACCCCTGTGTAGCAATCCAGCTTCACATCTCACTTCTTTACCTTTCACACTACAATGCTGCCATACCAAAGTATTTGTACTTCCCCAAACGAACAGTGCTGCATTATGTAATAGACAACCTGGTATAAGCTGAAGAAACCATTAAAACAGGAACATAAATATATTTTTTAGAGAATTTGGGATTTCTCTCTCTTTTTTTTTAAGATTTTTTTTTTAATTGGGGAATTGGGGGATGGGAACAGCACTGAGGAATTGGGGGAACGGGGACAGACAAGTTGCTGTCGTTTTGTTCTTCAGTCTAGTTGTGTGGGATTTCTTTTAAAGTATTAAACATAATGATAAAAACCAGACAGAGGGACTTTCTCACATGTATTTTAGTTGGTATTTTTATTTTAAATTTCAAATGGAGGAACATTAAAATATTTTTGATGCATTGGGCCTATAAAATCCTTTATTCCTATAAACAAGCTATTTTTATTCTGGTGGTTTTTTTTTTTCCACACGGAGTCCCTTCTGTTTATATAACATTTATGATGCTCAATCCTATTCTTTACCAAACTCCTAATCATCCTTCAGGACTTCTCTTAAAACTTATTTCCTTCAGGAAGCCTTCCCTGAACAGGCTGAGTGTTCAAAGTGACTATCTCTGTGATACCTATATCACACTGTATTGTTTATATTTGTCTATCTTACATATTAAGAGATCTAGGTTCCTTGAAGGCAAAGCTTTTTTCTATTCACTGTTTTATTCCCAGTGTCTAGCATAATAGATAATACACTTTCCTTCTCCTGCAAACTTAGGCTTATTAGCTTGCCACAGCTAGGGAGAGTGCACACCATGAAGAGTTCAACATTTCAACACGTAGAAGTTAGGGAAGAATATCTATAGAGTTAGCCATAGGATGGCCTTGGCAGAAATTGGTCAGAATTTGTAAACTAGGAATTTGCTGGAACAATCAGTGGGCTTGTCTTTAGGACACATGACTTTGTATGGAGTTACTGTTAGGTAGCTTTGTCTGTGGTCTTATTTAGAACACCATGGGTCTGAATGAGCTGGTGTTAAGAGTCTGAACTTAGTTTGTCTTGCTTGTTATGGTTTTGTACAATTTTTCTCTTTTGTGAGTTATAATACAGTTTTGCAAGTTGTGGTTTCTGTTTCAGTCTTCAGTTTCCCCTCACATTTTAGTTGCCAGCTGAATTGGTGTTCTCTGTATCAGAAGAATAACAACAGAGTTCCCAATGTAGGCTGTTACAATATAATTTGATATATGCCACAATAGCAATATAAATAAGGTATATTGGAGTTAACAAGAAGCAACTTTTTTTAACTATCATTTTGTTGAAATCCTGCCATATGCAAGGCTCTACATACATTATGTATTAGGCAAGTTACATACATTATTTTATTTAATCCTCAACAACCCAATGAAGCTGGTCCTATTTTTCTTATCCTCATTTTAAAGTCAAGAAATTGAGATGCAAAAACATTAAATAACCCACTCAAGGTCACCCAGCTAAGAGACAATATATCTAGGAATTTATTAAACATTTGGTGGGTACCATCCTAGGTGCTCTATGTAAACTCCAAAATAGACACCTGGAGTGGCGGCCACTCTATCCTATTTCACTGTTGAAGAACCTGAGACATGGGGAAGTAAAGTAACTCACCTAAAATCACAGAGCTCATGACCACATCATAGAGGCAATTCAGACCCAGGTATCCTGGATCCATGGTCTCTGCACATCATCACTTTGTCTGCTACTTCTGTTGAGCCCTGTACTCCAAAGAAAACCACCGGAAATTGTGTAACACTTGCTGGGAGCTGAAGAAGCAATGATTGATTATCTATGAGAACTGCTTAGCTGAGATGTTCTGGCTTAGGGTCTCATGAAATTGCAGTTAAGATATCTGCTGGGGCCATAAGTCTTTGAAGTCTTGCCTGGAATTGGAGAACCTCCTTCCAAAATAGCTACTGGCAGAGTCCTCAGTTCCACAACATGTAGGCCTCTTGATATGGATGTGTAAGTGTCCTCATGATATGGCAGCTGGCTTCCTCCAAACCAGGCAATCCAAGAGAAAGCAAGTTGGAATCCACATTGTCTTATGAATTAACCTTGGAAATCTAACACCATCACTTCCATCACATTCTATTCATTAGCATCAAGGACAACTCACATTCAGGGGGAGGAGAATTAGGCCTCACCTTTGGAAAGGAGGTATAT